GGTTTTTCGAGACAGGGTTTCTCTGTGTAGCTTTGCGCCTTTCCTGGAGCTCACTTGGTAGCCCAGGCTGGCCTCGAACTCACAGAGATCCGCCTGCCTCGTGTTTATGATTTTTATGTGTGTGGGTATTTTGCCCGTGTGCATATATGTACAGGTCTTGTATTGCTGTGCTGGAAGAGGTCAGTAGAGGATGTCAGATCCCCAGGAACTGAAGTTACAGATGGTTATGACTGTCCATATGGGTTCTGAGAACTGACCAAGGGTCTTCAACAAGAACAAGGGCTCTTAACTGCAGAGATATCTCTCTAACTTCTGGAGAATAATGGCATTAGAATTTAAAAGAGAAACCCTAATGTCTTTAGAGCACTTGTTCTTGCAAAAGACCCAGGTTTGGTTCCCATCATCCACCAGGAGCATCATAACCATGCACAATTCCAATTCTAGGGGATCTGATGCCATTGATGACCTCTTTGCATACCAGGCACCCAAGTGGTACATAGACATTTATGCAGGCAAAATACTCACACAGAGAGAATGAAATAAATAAACCTAAGGAGGAAAAGAGAGAAAGAAAAAACTGAAAAGCTCCAGGGCAGGTAATTGCAAATCTATGCTGCACCAAGGAAAGAAATGAGCAGGAAAAAAGAGGAAAGCTGTCCCATCTGAATTAAGCCTGCATGGCTGATACACAGGGTTCATATGCAGCCACATGGTGGGGAGGGAACTTGAGAGCAAGGTCACAGTGTCAGGGAAGAAGAGAGAGTCAGTGAAAGCACACCTAGAATAGAGAGGAAAGTGGGCAGATCCTAGAGGCTGCAAGACTGCAGCTATGATTGCACTTGCTACAAGAGTGGGCTTATGGGATGGGAAAGCACAGAGAATAAACCCTTCCCTGTAGATTACTAGGTAGCATAGGGGGAAAGAAATACATGAAATTGAGGAATCCAGAACGAGAAAGCAATAAAACCCAGGGGATGGAATGGCAGTGCCTTACCTGTGCAGACTCCATCAGTGGAAGGTATACAATGACGCTTTTCCTCTTTCCAGCTCATCACATCACCATGGACACACACAGTGATACCTGGGAATGCATACACATGGTGGAAATGAGAGCTTGTTCATTTGCCATACCTTGCCAAGTGCTCTCCCTTGTGTGTACTCATGAACTACTTTCAAGCCAGAGTCATCACACTGACAGCGTGAAAGAGACACGGGAAATTTGCCTTACTAGACACACACAACACAAGTGTCTGCTTTCTGTCTCTTCAGGCCTCAAAATGATTCTTTGAGGTGGGCACCATTAATTCCTTTCTATACAAGGCCTCAGACAGTGCAATGTTTAGACTCAGGAAATGCTCCAGAGGCATCTTTAATGGACTCCTCTGGCCAATACTGGAACAAATTGAACATCAAAACACAGAATGCCAATATGAGAGAGTAATCATAATAGGTATTCTGAGACATACTGAGATAAATCCATGAACAAATAACTATGGAGAATAAGTAAGCAATATATTAAACATCAGATCATCATGAAGAGGCAGTAGTAGAATTATAACACATAAAACCTATCACAGTAATAATAGATTTAACTAACTTTAACGAATATATTATTAGTCTTTGCTATATCCCACAGGAATCATTAAGGCACCGGGGTAATGATATTGGCTAAGCAATAACAGGGAGAAAAATATACACCACACTTGATCCTAATATGCTCTTAATGTATGAATGACATGAGCACATTATTTAACATTCAGTGATAACTATGCCTGGCAACTTCAGAGACATATCCACAAATGTATAACAATACACACTGAGGGAGCCCGTTTTCAGGTTCCTCGTCGCTTTACCCAGCAGGTCTGCATAGAGAGGAAGATTGGACCACAGGCCTGAGTGCAGGTGTCTGAGATGGTCTGCACTTGGCTGTGCTGCGGGGAGGTCGTTTGCTCCACCCCTTGTCATTTCTATAAATATCCTAGGGAAGAGACAGCCGGGGCCCATTGAAATAGGTTCCAGGTCCTCTCAAGGATATCCTTTATTTTCTGTTTACCTCCACAATGGAAATCCTTCTATCTAACATTTCCTGCTACTCTCAGTCAAGAAAATTCTTGTGGTGTTGGTGGGTAGCTGTCCCCCAATACACAAATTCACACTGACAAATGTCAACGCAAAAACACAGCTCTCACCTCAAAGGAAGAAGAGAGAGTTTATTCTGGAATCAAATATGAGTGAGAAAATATGAGTGGCACAGATTGAGGTTAGAACATTTCATGTCACAATGCAGAAATAGTTGCATGCAGTTTGTCTAGTAACAGAATGAAGACAACTATGAATCAAGGCACTCCTTGAGTGCTTTGGTAGAAATATTAAGTGGGCTATTATGGTAAAGCAGAGAAACTTCAGCTACAGGCATTAGCTACCATGTGATGACACTCAGTCCTTTGACTGGCAGAAAATTAAGGCTTTGTAAAAGGGATATTTTCTGATATTTTTAAATGTCGGGTCCAACTTCTTCTGTTAGTGACAAGATGCTAGGTCAGTCCAACACAGAGGGGCCAAGTTAGAGACCAGCATTGCCTAATAGGAATACTCCATTTGAACCGACAGTAATTGGACCAGCATGCTATTGGAATCAACATTGGCAAGTAAAAGTCCAAAATCTACAGTCTCTGCTTATACCCACACATTTACAGACCATTGCCTACTGTGCACCAACATTTTCCTATGTATCCCATGCTGACATCAAGCCTGTGCAGAGTCTGGGCTGAAAAGAACTAACAATATTGCTGCTGCGGCCTCTCAGGCACTGGGAATATTGGAATATGTACCATGCCTGGAATGTTGGAGAACTGATGTTTCACAAATATGCAGAAAGGATGGTCTTTCAGCAAACAATGCAGAGGCAAGTGTATATCCATATCCACAAATATAAATATAAATCATATCATGTGCAAACACCACTCAAAATAGATTGGAGATATGAAAATATAAAAATAAAAATATAAAAATAAACCTATAAATATAAAATATAAAATAATAATAAACCTATAAATAGTGAACAGAACACAGAAGAAAATCCTTGTCTCTGGGACTGAGTGAAAATTTCACAGACAAGACACCAAATAAAAAACATAATTGAAGAACTGGAGAAGGTGGAATCCTTACAATTTAAAATCTAGCACTCTTCCAGAGGATGGATGAGAATGGAGAAGATAATTCTATGGCTAGGAGAAAAGTTAGAAAAACATATATTCAATAAAGAATTTCTATGAATCATACAGAAAAGCTCACAAAATCAGGCAGAAAATAGAAATTGAGAAATGGGAAAGCTTTCAGGTGTGTTGTTCAAGGGGACATTGATAGGACTGTCCTTTTTATAAGTGATTCATTAGAAATATTAATGCCATGTGCAGAGAGCATCATGGCAGGGATTCTGAGGAGACATCAGGGCCACCTGGAGGGTGGGTATCACAAAAATGGAAATTAAAATCCCAAACTGGTGCCAAGCACAGTGTGTTCCACACCTGGAGACCCTTCACGAGGCAGCTGAGGCAGGAGAATGACTGAGAGTTCTCAGCCAGGGTAGGACACAGTGAACTGCTGTCTCAAAAGCAAATAAAACCTCAAAGTATTAAAAACGAAAAAGAAAATCCTCTAACCAACTGCATATTGAAATAATCATCTGAGATATGCAGGGTAATCATTGACTTCCCTTTAGGCTTTACCACTTACTGTCCCACCGATCCTGAGTGAGCAATCTCATTCCCTTCTCACAGAGCAGGAAACTGGGATCAGAGGGTGCTCACATTGTCTTATGTCCCTCCTGCTTCCTCCCTCAGAACACCTAGCCTGGACAATGGCTCCAGCACACCCCTGCACAGAACAGCACACTGAAGAGGCACAATAGTCTCAAGTCTCTCTCCTTCTGGAGACACACTCCTACAAATCCCGAAGCGGGGGTGAACCTACTGGGGTCTGGGATCCCTGAATCTGCCTCTCCACTCTAAGGAAGATTCCAGTGCTCACCTCCAGGAATCCATAAGCTCAGCTCAGTCCAAAACTAGGAATGCTCATTTTCCAGGACATCACCAGGGTCGCCATTGAAAACAGTCATCATAATGAACCCAGGTTTCTATGACGACAGCATAGCTTCCCCTGTTCAGTAACTGGGAATGGATCTTCCCAGCCCTCCCTTCTTTTCTATCAAAGCAAGAACTCTTCACCCTTGTTATCACCAGAGAAAGCACACCCATTAGAGAAACTGCCACCAGCAGGAAAGCAGAGCTTTGCTTTTTTGTTCTGTAAACCAAATATAGCCCTCGAAGCGTGACCATATTCTACTCACCAGAATATGGTGGTCTCCATGGAAATGTCATCACATTGTTGTCACTGTGAGAGATGAGCATTTCATCCAATAAATAGCTATGCATATATAACCTCATAGAGGAAGATAAAGTCTGGGACACCATGTGCAGAGATATGCCGCAAAACAAAACCTTGAACCTGGAACCTCACATATACAAAGCATGCAAAGCATGCACTCTACTGCTGAGCTACAGCCCAATGTTCTCAACCTCGTTGATGAAAGCACTTATGAGAGTAGATGATCAGCATTCATATTGGCTACAAGGTACTGTTTCAGGTCTTTTCAGGCTATTTTATGGCTTCCAGTTTAGGGTTTTGATAAGATTTTTAGGACATATAAAGAATGAGAAAACAATCTATTTTCAATAAAAAGTAATAATAACAATAATAGTACCCATTAGTGAAACTGCCATCAGAAAGAAAGCTGAGCTTGCTATTTTTTTCTTTTCTTTTCTTTT